TTGACTTGACTTGACACGTTAAAGAAAATCCGTGATCGTTGCGTTTTACCAAAAATGCGCGAAACTGTCATCAACACCTTTTCTCAAGTTGGTCAAGGCCAACGTTGTATGACATTAGGCTAGTGCCCCAGATATGTAGGCGAATAATCTAAATGAAGAACCGTCAAACACTGACTGCATAGCTTGAAAAGCGGAATTTTATTGAATTCCCTAAAATGTAAATGTTGCATATAAACATGACAACAATGAGGTTATTACTTACCAACCGCACGTAGACGCTCGCCGAATGTCTTACAAATCAGTTCGGATGAAGTCTATGACGCGCGTAAGCTTATATTCCCATTTGTTATGCTTGTTGCAAAAAGAGGATGCATGTCAGCTATTGATACAATTATAGGAATATATTACTAGATTATACTATCTGCTGGTTTTAGTCAGTAGGATTACTAGAATTAGCACTCTTCGCAGTGACATATTACCTCTTACAACATTATTCTAGCCAAACTTCGTTAAATGTGACGGCAACAGTTCATTTTCTTTATTAGGTACACATAATTCTAATCTAGCTTACCCTAAAAATCTAGCTTGCTGTAGCTTCATTATACAGCTTAAACACAAATGTATCTCTAAGTTTAGATTTGCTTAGCTTTGATAATGCAGACTTGTCCTTAAAGCCTTGTCAAAGCTTTTAGCCTATTGCAGTCACAGCAACAATGTTGTCCTCGAGTAACGTACTTGTAGAGTGCCTATTTAGAAGGATGATGGTCTGACCTCTGACAAATGGCAGCGTCAGTACTACCAACGGTACTACTACACTGCTTGTTAGGATTGTGGGTATATGAACCCAGGCCTGACTAATAATGCAGCCAGAAAAAGTACCAGATATACCACCACCCAGCCGCACTCCTAGTTAGTAGTATTCGAAATATCAGTAGCAGTATAAGCCTTAGTTTCCAGGACTCTGGCTTGACACCTTCTGATGGTGAGTATTTACTCAAAATGGCTTTTACTCTCACTCACATTCCGTGCTGGGATCAAGTGGCTATGAGCAGACGTTCTGTAAAATCCAGGCTACCGATAGATACTGTAGTAGGCCTATAGGTAGTTTCTATTGACGGAAAACTGCACAAGATAAGGCCATGGTAGGACTTGTGCCATTATTATTAGCACTGCTATCCAAATGTTAATCACTGTATCTCACA